ACTCCCATGTAAATACTGAATAGTTTCTCTGGTGTGAGAAACTGAAAGTGTAAATAAGGACTAAAAGGTATAACAGATAATGTGAAATAGGAAGAAAAGGGGCAAAGGGGAAGGGGAAGTAGGAGGGGTAGGGGAAAGGAAATAAGGGAATGGAATTAATATGAGAAAATGGAAAAATGGAAACAAAGTCTTTGTAAATAGAGAGGGATGGAGGGGTTGAAGGGAAGGCAGGGGAATGGGGAAAAAATACGAACCAAGAGAGATTATGTGAAGGTGCAAATTTCCAATGATGCATGTCATATTGTATACCTAAAATGCACCAATGATTAAAATGAATAATTGATAATGCAAAATAGGAAGAAAAGGTCCAAAGGGATAGGGGAAGTGGGCAGAGTATGGGAAAGGAAAGAAGGGAAAGGAAAAATTATGAGAAATGGAAAAAATGGAAATAAAGTCTTTGTAAATAGGGAGGAATGGAGCGGGTAAAGGGAGGGCTGGGAATGGGGAAAAAATAAGAACGAAGATGCATCATGTAAAGGTACAAGTTCCCAATGAGAAATGTAATTGTGTTGTATACCTACAATGTACCAATAAAAGAATTTAAGGAAAAGAAAAAAAAAGAAACAGATGACCCTTAATTGGGAAGAATTTGAGAATGGTTTGATAAAGTAACTACATTCTGAAACTACCACAGCATGGTTACGAGTCCACTAGTCAAAGAGGAACGAATGGGAGGTAATTCCTCACACCTGGGTGGAGGGAGCTATAGGGAGCCACCTTGAGAGAAACTGAGACCATTGGCTCAAGGCTACACTCCAGTGGAGACACAAGGGGAGACAGCAATGAAAAAGCCCCTCAACTAGTTCTTCTCCTTCAAAAAACAGAGGGACTCCCCTGTGTCTGCAGCCCTCCAGAAGACAGCCGCCATGAATCCTCTTCTCATAATGCACACAGAGTGGCTTCCCAGGTAGAGAACAGGATAGAAAAGAGCTGAACATTGTCTAAAGGGAAAAACTTGTGATCTACTTTTCTCACATGGTTCCTGACAAGTGTTTGTGCCAATGTTACATAAGACGCATAAGATAATGCATTGAGTAGCGCATGTTCTTGAAATTCTCTGGAAGCGCTTACATAAGTTTGTAATGATCACTGCTTGTGGGAATTGACTGTTAAAGCCATCAGAGCCCTGAGGATATCTTGTGGGAAGATTTTCAATTACTGATTCAATTTCTTTGATCGTTTAGAAATATTTTTGTTTTCATCTCCTGCTACAATCTGGTAAGTTGTGTTTATTGGAAACTCATCCATTTCCTCTAAATTATATTTATTGACATAGGCTCTTATTTTCCTTTTGGTGTCTGCAGAGTCTATGATGATATCTTTTCTAATTTTTGTTTCTATTTTTTAATTCCTGCTGTTGGCTGTTTGTCTTGTCTTCCTTTTCTCTTGGTCGGCCTCTGGGGAGTTTCTGCTTCATGATGAGCTTGCCAAAGGATCTGCTTTGAGCTCCATCAGTCCTTTCTAGTATTTGTTACTTTTTATTTCCCCTTCTTTGCTTTCACTGTGCTTGCTTTGCTACCGTGGGAAGGCTCCTTTTGTAAGGGGGAAAGCGCAGGGGAGGGTCCCACAGGCAAGAACAACTAATAAGTTACACTCAGAGCGAGGCACAAGCAGAGTCAGTTGTGCCTAGGCGGGCAGCTCATCCAGCTGTCCCCTTCCTCCTTCAAGGCCTCCCCAAAGCACCTTCCTCCCCAGCTCCAGGCTCAGCTTCACAGCCCTTGCAGGAGGGGACCAGGAGCAGGAGCAAAGCACATCGCCCCTCCCCTCACTGGGCGCACTTAGCCCCCAGTGTTCTGGAAATGAGAGGCCTGGACAAACCTGGGGTTTCCACCTGTCCCTCTGGGCCTGAGTGGTGGGCTGGTGTGTGATGTTGGGAGCCCCTGACTCCATCCGTCCAGGTGCTGGACATCTACATTAAACCTGACTTGGAAAAAGACTCCTAAGGTAATTGAAAGTTTGAAACTTCCCTGGTGGTTAAGTGGACACAGACCGGCTTTCTCTTCCAGCTCTGCTACTTACTTTCCCTGAGGCTGAAGATGATTACATCTCTCCATGTCACAGTTTCTTCATCTATAAAATGCATGACAGCAATGGTTCATGCTTTCTGCATAATATATATGTGCAAAGCACTCTTTCTTTACAGGAGTCATTTTCCATCTCTCCTTCTTCATGTTGGGGAAGGCAAGCACAGAATTGCTCCCTGCAGTAAGTGCCTGTGATATACTTGCACTGTCCTTCCAGTCAGGCTCCTTGTGCCCAGGCAGTCAGGTCGAGACAGGCCCAGGATGCCCAGCCCAGAGCTTTCTTGAATTTCCTGGAATGTTCTGTGCCAAACAGCTCCAGTTCAGCAGATTCAGGGCCCTGCTTCCTCATGATTTGACATGACAGAGCCTATGAGAAGATCTTCTGAGAACTCCAACCTCCTCTGCCTCTTATAAAAGGCAGACAGAACAGCCAGAGAAATGGAGAGCAGAGAACAACCCTGAAGCTGAAGCCACATCCTTGCCCTCCACCATACAAGTTTTAGCATCACTTCTGTGCCTGCTACTAACAGCTACTGCCGTCAGCATCCAGGTGCTGGCTCAGACTGGTAAAGCCAATCTCCCTCCCTCTCTCTCTGTCTTCCCTTCAGTTTCTCTTGCCTTCTAGGAAGCTATATGCTACAGTGCCTGACTTCTAAGCCCAACAGAGCAGCAAGGTTCCCAGAGTTTCACTTTGGCACTGAATTTTAAAGCTAGAAAGCTGAAGCCCAGGTTGGAGACAGGAGGGTCCTACCCATCTCTAGGCTACCCCAGAGCAAGAGTAAAACCCAAACTGCTAAATTCCAAATCCAGGCCTTTGCTTTAACAGCTCCTGACCATTCCAAACCCTGCAGATCTGGGGCCATGCCCCTGCTCTCCCCTAGATAGCAGTGGCCCATCCCCCAGAGGCAGCCCAGGAGAACCAAGTCTGAGATCTCAGCCGTGAGTCATAGGTCCCATCCCAGCCCCAGCCCAGGGCAGGAGCTTTGGACTTGGAAGTAGGCCTGATTTGCTTTCACCTCCTTACCCTACTTCCTGCTTTGTGTAAGCCCTGAAAAGCCAGATGTGCTCCTAAAGGCTTTTTCTTGGTGATTTTGTATCTAGATGTGAAACACGACGAGGAGACCCCGTTTGCATGCTGTTTCTCATTTCTCAGCAAGACAATCCCCTTGCATTTTCTGAGAGACTATCAGCTCACTAGTGACATGTGTTCCCTGAAGGCTGTCCTGTGAGTAGCAAAGTCCTGCCCAATGCCTTCTCTCTATCAGCTCACTAGTAACGTATGTTCCCTGAAGGCTGTCCTGTGAGTAGCAAAGTCCTGCCCAATGATGGCTCCAGCCCTCACCCACATGGCTGCTTTAGCAGACAGGAGGATGGTTTCTCCAGGCCCAGCAAGAGCAGCAGCTGCTGCTGGAGGCCGCTTGCTTCCACGCACTCTCTTCCATCTGTCCCAGGAAGGACCTTCACCACCACAGAGGGGTCAACAAGGCTAGAGCCCAGAGAACCACCCCTTGGCAGGGGGCACCCCCAGAGCATTCCAGCCCATTAATCCCTTTCTCCTTCCTCTGCAGCTTCAAAACCAAGAAGAACAGACAAGCCTGTGCCAACCCCAAGCAGAAGTGGGTCCAGGACGCCATGATATACCTGGACCACCACTTCTCTCCCTGATGACATGAGCAGCTCTCCACTCACCCAGACCCCAGCCTGAGGGTGAGAAGTGATGGCTCAATTCTGCCCCCACCTGCCCACCTGTACACTGGAATAACTTTACAGTAACTTCCAAGTAAAATATTTCTGATTTGTGATGCAAAATATACTGTATATCCAGGAATGTTCACTATTATTTGAGTTGTGTAACTGTTTTGTGTTTCATTTTGAGTACTGATCTATTTTTATTGTGTATTTGCGGTGGTAGGGGTCAAACCCAGGGCCTCACGAATGCTAGGCAAGTGCCCTACCAATGAGCTACACCCCAACCCAATGATCCCTTGCTTGAGCAAGGCCCTGAGTAAGGTGGTTCTTGACTGTCCCTTAGTCTCTTCTACTATAACCTGACCACATTTCTCTCTGGCTTTCAAGGATAAAGCATGTGCCTGTAGGAACTGTGTGAAAGGACACTACTTTAGGGAGCAAATTTGCCTTGTGAATGTGACATTTGTTAAGTATGTTGTACAGAAAAGTGAATGCAATAGGAGGACCTCTGAATGTTTGCAGGAAATTCATTTTATTTAGAAACTGTAACAATGATCTTTTCTTCAGGGAAACTCCCATGCAGTAGAGGGTGCTCTGAACGCCCTGGCAGAGCATGCTAGGAGAATGCAGTGTACAAGGCCCTGGCTATGTGGCCAACCTGGGCTCCTCTGATCCTTGCCAGTAAAGGCTATTCCAGAATAATGGCTCTGGTCTCCAGCGTGTTTCTGTGGCTTGCCTTCCATCAACCTCATATTTGGTTCATGCCCCACTATTGTTCCTTTCCCATTGCGACCCAAAGGCTATATTGCAAAATCTCTTTTAACTTGTTTCCCTGTCCCTGTCCCTGCTTCTCCAAGTCCTCCTCTATCCTGGGGCGAGTAACACCGCCTGCCTGTATATCTGGAGACCACACAGCCATGTCCTAGATAGCATCAGGCTTGACAGGGAGATAGGACTGGAGCAGAATGGTTGGGAGGATGGGGTATTATGGTCATAGCAAAGAGTCTTCTACAGGTGGTGGAAGATGGAAAAGACAAAAAGAGAGCCTGGAGGGTCTATCTCCATAAGGTCAGAGTTGGAGCTCCAAAATGTAAGAGTTGGAGACTGTTAGAAAGGAAGGTTAGGGAGTTAGACTCGGTTCTGAAGGCAGGAGGAAGGAATGCTTTGGGAGCACCAAGAAGGACCAGGGGTGGGTAGATGCCAGGAAGAGTAGCCCATGACTGTGGGTAAGATGGAGTTAAGAGGGTGATGGAAGACAGCCTACTGCAATAGGCCAGGCAAGAGGAAAAAAGGGGACAAAGGAGGGTAATTGTGGAGGTGGAGGGGAAGAGGGACGTTAAGAAAACTGAGCCAGATATGTGACACACTAGGGAAAAAGAAACACGAGACAAAAGATCTCCCTAAAGCCACCACGCTGGCCTGTGAAGGGGTGCCAATTTTGAGACCCAGAATTCACTCCCTTCCTCACTTATCCCAAATCACACCTTGCACACAAATGGGAGTTTGTGACTATCCTTTTAAAAGGGACAGGGTCTCCTCTTCCTGCATGTCCACCCAGGCTCCTCTGGTCTTCTAGAGACTGCCTCACCCCTCCAGGCAAGCCAGGTTGGTATCTCTGTGCAATATAGGGTGCCCCTGCGTGGACATCCACCTGGATGGGCCCCCAGGGGAGAAGGGCTCCGAGAACAGCCCTGCAGGACCTGTGCTTGGGATCTCAAGGACAGAAGCTGCTATGCCTATGCCATGCTATGTCAGGCAGCACAGTTGGCAACTTGGGACACCAGATACAGTTCAGGCCTGGGAGGCTGGAGTCCTGGGCTCTATGTGTTCCTTTCTAGGCCTCAGTCATCTCATCTATAAAACAAGGTTGGCAACATCTTATAAGCAAGTGACCTGACAAGATCCCCTCCAGCTAGGACATTGGGTAACATCACTCCCTGAGTGCTCCAGGGAAGGCAGGGAGGGAGAAGGCCCAGCTCTCCAGCTTAAACCCAGCTCTGCTGCCAGCTTGCTGCTCCACTGTGTCTCCTTCAGCTGCCAAGCCTGGAGGCAGAGAAGCCAGCCATGGCCTCTAAGTCAAAGCGTGCCCCAGGGCCAGGCAGAGGTGGGAGGCAGAGAGAGCACGCACTGGCTTTGAAGACAGCAATCCATTTCCCTGGTACCAGGTCAACGTGTCACCCTCACCCTCCAGCCCACTAGCCCCAATCCTCAGCCCCAGTGCCAGTCAAGTCCATGCCCTGAAATCCTTGCAAAATCCAGGAAACACAAGTGAGTGTTTTTGTATAAAGTGCAGCAACATAGCTTATCAGGATTATGCAGATTCTCTGAGACCCCAGGAAGGTGGTCAGGTATGGGGCTGGAAGTTGGGGGACAAGTGGAGCTGTGCGATCTCCAGTGGCCAGGATAGGAAGGAATTCCTCATTTTCCCTTCCGTCAGCAGGGCTTCATCTTTTTCAAGTAACCTTGAACCCACCCAAGTGTCTGCAAGGCACAGACTTCTCTGCCTCTCATAAGCTTGAATCTGCAAACAGAAAACACAGGACAGGGCTGAGTCACCAGTCACTCACAGGGTACCGTGCAAAAGTCCTATCTCCACTTCCATGTCGCCTGGTGTCCCTGTGTTTCCTCTCAGAGCCTCATTTTCCCTCTGTAAATGATGTCACTACATGAGATCTGTAACTTCCACACTGGGGATTGGGGACATCTATTAATGTGAGCATTAGAAACTTAATTGAGCCTTCTGGCCCGCCCCCTGGAGATTCCAACTCCAGGTATCAGAGTGGGACAGAAGAATTTGTAGAAGCTTGATGATTATCTAGGATGAAAAAATCCGTATCTTAAAATATCTCTCTGATACAACTTTCAGTGTTTCTGTGTCCATCTGGTACCTCACTGCTCCTCTGGATTCATTGTGTGTATGTGCCTGTGTGTGTGTGTGTGTGTGTTTGTGTGTGTGTGTTGCTTTTTTGATCTGACCACTTTCTAATTATCTAATCCATTGTCTAATTGACTTGATTATTGTCTAATCCATTGTCTAATTGTCTAGTCCTGCCTCTCATGGTCTGGGTGATCTCAGACAATTATCTCTACTTCCCTGAACCTGAGTTTTCCTACTGATAAAAATGTGAACCCCAGAGGGCCAGCAGAGGTGTTATATATGAAAGTGCCTTCGAATGCTGAGGGCTGTGTGTAAGTGACCTCAGTTAATTTTGTACTGACCCTGCCCCTGCCCCTGTCATGCAGGCATCATGCTTACTCTACTTCCCAGATAAGGGTTAGGGAAGGGTGCCGGATGAAGGTCAGAGGATTTTCCCTGCCCAGGGTCATCTGGACTACAGGTTGGGAAATGCAGAGGCAGGGACTAATCACGACAACCTCCCCCTTTCCACTACACAATAGTGTCTGGTGCTTTGTTAAGTGACTCCTTCCTCCAGAATGTAATACTGGGATACAGTAATTGGCACTGTGGAGTTCCCAAAACACTGGTCACTGCAGGAGAACAGGTGATCCTTCCAGCACCACCACCCCACCCCCACCCCTGCCAGGAAGTTCGGTGCTCCCCCTGGCGCCCAAATGCAGCTCTGCATTCCAGTTTCGGTAGCTTCGCGGGGTTGTGTTTAGAAACGTTATTCCAGTGAGACAGCACCATCTAGTGTATCTGGTCTTACCAGCTAGTCTCATTTCGGCCTGCGCGTTCCCTCCCGAGGGGTAGGGCAGGTGACTACTCACATCACAGCTTTGTAAGGGCAGGTGACACTGGTGTCTTTGTAACACTGGATTCTCTGCAGGGAGATCTTCTGCACAAATGAGTAGCAGCAGTGGGAGGAGGCCACGTGCACTAGAAGAGAAGCACAAAAGGAAGTCCATCCATTGTTCAGCCTCCCACAGGTAGGATGATTTTTTAAAACCCAGCAAAGCTCCAACTAGGACAGGCCCATGCTTCCGGACCACATCCAGGGTCCTCCAGCACAGCGCTGTCTCCGCAGCCACAAAGCTCTAGGGTTAATTAGGAAAAGAGTTAGAAGATTGGGCTTCAGATCTGAGTTCCCTGCAGACCACCTGGCAGTTGTGATGTTAAACATGTGCCCTGGCTAGGATTCCCTGTCCTCAAAACCAGACTGTTTATACCCTAATTTCTAAAGGCTCATCCAGTTCTCACCTCCCACCACAAGTGTATAGTTTTGCCCCAGTGTTCAGGTCCAAGGGCTCTGGACCTCACTACCTGGGGAACCAGTCGTTCTGAAGCATACAGGACATTGTAGTCCCCAGTCCGAAGACCTGGGGCCAGATGAGGAGCTGTACAAGGAGCTCAGAATGCCACAGGAAGTGCTCCCAGCAAATTGTCAGCTCCCTAATCAATTTACTTTGCACACTCCCCCCACCTCCCGCCCTTACCCCAAAAGTCTTGTCTTCCAACCTGGCCACCTCCCCACTAGTTTACTATTCACTAAACCCTCTCATGACTGTTCCTAGGTCAATATTCTCCCAATAGCCTTGGCAGGGAAGTGAAATATTAACAGCTCCATTTTACCCATGGAGAAACCATAGTTCAAGAGTTAGGGTGACTGGCAGGCCCTCCAACTATCAGAGCTCCCCCAATCCTCCCTTCAGATGCTATTGTTCTCTGTCACTCTTTGAGGAAAAGACCAGACCCAGCTCTTGACATCAGGGCTCCCAGCTTGACCCAAACAACCTCACAGTGCCCTCCACCAGCTTTCAGGGTCTGAATAGACAAAACCTCCTTGGCCTAAATCTCCATGTTTGCCCTATTCACTGTTTTCCTATGGTCCTGCACCCCCAGCCCATTCAAGCCCCTCTCATCCCCCCTCTCAAGGATGGGAGGTAGACTCAGTGAGTTCAAGGTGAGTCCTCCCGAGTTCCATAGTACCTGCATGTCTGCCCTCCTCATGGAGAAGCAACAGGGCTCAGGGACACTTACAGCTCATGCTGTTCACATCTTGTGGCCACACTGCAGCCAGCAGCAGACATGTCAGGGCCATAGTAGTGAGCTTCATCCTAGGTGTCTGATGCAGGCCTCTCTGGAGTAGCCTTGATGTGTCTGGTGAAGCAAGGGCTCTCCTTTGTGCCATCCTGCAAAACTCAGAGCTTTTATTAGAACGCCTGATGGGAGGGATTCCCCCGGGGAAGAGGTGGGTGGTCCAGGGAGAAAGGACAGTCATTCATATGCAGTGACCACATGGAAAACTCCTTTCCTCACCTTTTGCATGATACTCAAGGTGTGCTTGGGTGTGAGTGGCCTCTGGAACTTCCCCAAGTTCAGGAGCAGATAAAGATCATGCAGAAATACGTGGGAGCTGTGCTGGCTGGGTGGGAAGTCAAGAAAGGTGAATGGGAGGAAGTGGCCTGTGTGTGGCTCGGGTAACCCACATCGTTCCATACAAGCGAGCAGCTACTGTCCCTGGAGCCTCACAGCGATGAGTTCTGGACTTGCACTGAAACATGCCTGCATTTGAATCCTAGCTCCAAAAATTCAATTGCATAAGCTTGCCCAAGTTGCATATTCATGCAAAGTGGAAATAGAAATCCATATCTCAAGGGTGGGTGAGAAGAATTAAATAATCCTGTGTCAAGTGCCTGGCCCAGATATTTGCTTTTTTTTTTTTCAGTCCTCAACATTTCAACAGCTTACTCTATTCCAGGTCTTTTGTTAGCCTCGGGGAAGACAGTTACCAATGAGATGCAGAGCCTAGCCTGAACCATTTCATTTCAGCTCACAGAAAAACAGAAGTGTAAGGAGAGCAATAGATGCATAGTGTCCAGAACGCAGAGGAGGGATGGGAGCCACGCACTAGCACGCAAGCCCTCTCAGGAGAATGCTCTTAAAACAGGGTCTCCTGCAGGCTGGTGTGGAGAGGGATGTGTTAGGTAGAGGAAAGGGCTCAAGTAAGGACACAGAACATAAAGGGGGACACTTCATTCCGCTCCGTCAGGTGAGGCTGGCATGTGCACTATAAAATGAGTGACAAGACTGGGGAGTGGCCGGAGGGCAATGTGGTGAGAGAGCTCCAGAGGGTCCTGATGGCCAGGATGTTAAATGCAGTGTTTGCAATAAGCACCTCACATTAGATAGGGAAAGGGACTCTCAGAAGAGGAAGCCGCTTGCCCTAAGCCAAATTGAGCATCATTGCAGAGATGAGGGGAAAACACTTGAGGCCTGATCCTCTGAGATCAGAGTGCCACTGCCTCTGTGAACACACTCAGCTCGACCTCTCCACCAAGGGGCCAGGTACCAGTCAGCCCCCCAGCTGCTTCCTGCCACCAGAAAGGTAGTCCACGTCATTGAGATCAGTAGGCCACTGTTGTCTCCTCTTCCCTTGGGCCTTGGAGACAGGTGGGTGTTTATTCCCTTCCCTGGGGACTAGTGTGAGAGAGGAGAAGAGAGTGTGTAGTCACTAGACCAAATAGAACTGCAGGTTCTTTAGAGAACTGCAGAGCAGACAATGTGGCCACTTAGGAAATTCTTCATCTGTTCCCCTCTCCCCGGGGGACTGGCCCTCCAACAATTCAGTTCCCCTCCTCCCCTCACTGTGGCCACAGCCAGCCCCACACAGGAAAAGAGGGACCAGCAAGACTTAGTCATGCCGTCCCTTCCCAGGGTCCCCAGCACCTCGAAGCCACCGCCTGTGGGCTCTTATCACACAGCGGCTAATGTTCCGCGGGGCACCTCCCCCGCTCCCACAGGGCTGACAGGGTGCGACTTCTTCGGCCCTAGCACGCAGGCCAGAACAAGTCTGAACTCAGGAAGATAGCTGTGGAGTTGAATAAGCTGGGCAGAATGGCCTAGGATAGATTGCTGTAGGATAAATGCTTCTAGGAGAAACAATGTTATTCGCGCAAACAAACCGTTTCTTGGTTTGATGTCTGAAAACGAGGAAGTGCTTGTAGCTAGGTTTTCTTTTTAATCATCTTCTACAAAATACGTATCAATTTACTGAGGATAGAGAGAGAACAGAGATTCATCCAGACCATGTCCTGGGACATTCCTGCCCTTTGTCTGCCCTCTGCTGGCTGAGTGGGCTGGAGCCCAGCCTCCTGGCTTGCTTTTCTTTTTTCCTTTTTTTTTTTTTTTCCTTTTCCTTAAATTCTTTTATTGGTACATTTTAGGTATACAGTACATTTACATTTATCATTGGGTACTTCTACCTGTACATGATGTATCTTGGTTCTTATTTTTTCCCCATTCCCCCTCCACCCTTCCCTATTTACAAAGACTTTGTTTCCATTTTTTTCTTTTTCTTATAATTTTTCCTATCCCTTCTTTCCTTTCCCCTTCCCCTTCCACTTCCCCTACCCCTTTGGACCTTTTCTTCTTAATTTATTCATTTTAATCATTTTAATACTTATTTACACTTTCAGTTTCTCACACTAGAGAAACTCTTCAGTATTTACACGTGTGTCCTATTTATTTCACTTAAGAGTATCGCCTCAATGTGCATCCACTTAGCTATAAATGTCTCTAATTTCTCATGTTTTTATGGCTGAGTAGTACTCCATTTTATTAAAAAACCACATCTTCTTTATCCAGTCTCCAGTTGGTTGGTGGCCACTTGGACTGTTTCCAAGCTTTCGCTATTGCAAACTGTGCTGCTACAAACATGGGTGCACATATATCACTGTGGTATTATTCTTTTCATTCTTTTGGGAAGATACCCAGCAGGGGAACAGCTGGGTCAAATGGGACCTCTAGCCCTAGTTCTTTGAGGTATCTCCACACTGATTTCCACAGTGGTTGCACCAGTCTACACTCCCACCAACAATGGAGAAGGGTTCCTTTCTCCCCACACCCCCGCCAGCATTTGTTATTGGTTGATTTCTTGATAGCAGCCATTCTTTCTGGGGTGAGGTGGAATGTCAGTGCTGTTTTCATCTGCATCTCTCAAATGACCAGTGATGTTGAACATTTTTTCATATACTTCCTTTTCAGTTCCAGTTCATCTGCTTCTTAAGGACCAGGACACAGAAACCCATGGGGGAAAGACATGTGGCCAGAGTCACAAAAGACAGCTTTGTCCATCTCTGGGGCAAGACCTCTGAGCTCCCCCACTTAAGAAGGAAGCAGCTAAGGGGAAGAACTCAGCCTCTGAACTCAGACATGACTGGCTCAAATCTCAATGCCAACCCTTGACCTTGGGCCAGTGACTTGGGCCTGAGGAACAGAGGTCCTCTTACAAGCTCTGCTGCTAACTGGACTTATGATTGTCCTCAAGAAAAATTCCCAAGACCTTCCCCTAATGTGGCATGATTTGAAGGGTTGTGTGCCACAAAAGGGAAGGAGGGGAGAGGAAAAGCAAAAGTTGAATGAAGCACCTTACACAGATGGGGCACCGAGGTTAGGTGGGGGAGAGGCCGCTGCAGGTCCTGCCTTTGAGGGGCTCAGGGCTTACTCAGGAAGTGAGTCCTGGGTATGGTGGGAAGGACAAGATGGAGCAGAGAGAGTGTCCTGAAAGTTGCACAGAGAACACAACCCTAAAGCTGGGTCCCCCTGACCCTTCTGTCCTGAATCCAGGCTTCGCCACCATCTCCCTCACTGCAGGCCATCTTCCCAGTCTCTTTCCCTCTGCCCTGGTGCTCTGACACCAAGCCAAACTGTGTGTCATTGCTAACATGAGGACAGCACCCTCTCAGGGTCTGGAATCTGGCCCATGCCCTCTACCCCCTGCAAGCACAAGTCCAGGCCCTTGCAAGGATTCCCAGCACCCACACACCCAGAAGGCAAAACCCTGTGTCCTGCAGCCCCTTTCCCCCTGTTCAGCACTTTTGTCTTTTCAGGAGGCCTTTCCTGTCTACTACTCAGCCACAAGAAAGCAGCATTGTGCATCTGTCAATGGCCTACTGAGGGGGGCCCAAGGACATCCCAGCAGTGACCATTGCCGCTTCTTTATGAGCTCCTCAGCCTGACAGCGGGACCCACTGTGCTCAGGGTGAAGCACAAATATCTTGGCTCTGCTCACAGTGTCCTGAACAGCATGGTGGGCAGTGCTCTGGCCAGTTCTCCACTAAGCTGCACGTGCTCCAAGGCTCTACTGGCCCTTCTGCCCAGAGCCTGTTTCCAGATTGATGTGGCTAACTCCAGGCAAGTCATAACACCTTGAGCTCCCAGAGGGAATGCATCATGCCCTGCTGCACCTCACATGATTGCTCCCCATGTTTCCCCATCTGTCAGGAAGCTCCCAGAGGGCAGGAGTCCCTTTGCAGTGATTGGAAGTTTATGCTGCAGTACCCAGGATGGCGCAAGTGTGCAGGGTGAAGAGAGGGAAGAGGTCCAGCCCCAGGTCCTCTCCACACTGCTTGTGTGACTTCTTTGAGTCTCTGAGCCTCATCTCTAACTAGAGATAATAATGGTCGCACAAATTTTGCTCCAAGTGACACATCCACTTTCAAATCACACCTTCCCCAACTTCCTCCCCCTGACAGAGTCTAAGGGCAGAGCTGCTGCCACCCAGCCAGACCTAAGAGGACAGAGAAGAAATGTGGAGAATGGCAGATATGATCAACACAGCGGTGTTCGTTCTGCTAATCTGGGCTCCTTTCTTGAAGTCCTTCAGCCCTAATGAACAACGGCAGCCAATAGCTACCCTCAGCTGAATGCTTGTGTCCTCTGCACTTCTCTGAGCTTTTCACACATGCTAATCTACCTGATCTTCCCCCAAACCCTGAAAGTAGGTGTTATTCTTAGGCCCCATTTTGCAGATGAAAAAACTGAGGCACATTGGTCAAGGTTATGGAGCCACCCCTTGGGGAGGTGAATTCAAAGGCAAGCTGCCTTCAGCCTCCAAATCCTGAATCATTTCTTTGCATGGTCTCTCAGCACAGACTCCTGACTGCTCCCCAAGCATCCTAGGTTACCTGGCAATGACCTTCCCAGGCAGGTCACATCCTACACTCCCTGGGGCCCTGTGTATACACCTTTTGTCCCCAGATTGAATGTCACACCCTTCCACTAGACACACCTGGGATTTACCATACAGTTTTCTCCCAAAGAGATATAATCTTTGCCCTGATGAGCTGCCAGCTCCTTATCAAAATCACCTCCTCCCCAAGGCCTTCTCCACTTCCTGT